CGGCTAAAATACTCGTCGACGACGACGGACAACGGTAGCTTGGCCGCCATACGTTCTCGTGTTTTTAGCCACTTAGCTTGCATGTATTTTTGCTTTCGCCATGGTCCAATATGCATTTTCTTCTCTTTCATGCATTTCTTCGCGGCTGCACATAAAATCTTGATCAAAGATAATAATCTCTCAATTTTTCCAACGAATACTTCCGGCAAACATTTTACTAATCTGTTGTATTCTTCACATGCTCTTGCCATCTCAAACTCAGCTCGAAAATTTAACTCGATGATAACTCTTACTTCTCCTTTTTTAGGATTTGAAGAATCGATCACATCTATAAATGTATGTTCACCTGTAACATGGTTAATAAAAGCGTTAATTAAAGGTTATTCTAGATATTTTTCACTTGCCACCAATTAATTAGAACTTTGAACTAGTTCTACGCATAAAAATCATGATATACTTCACTTACGTGGCTAATTAAAAACAACAATATCACTTGATAAAAAAACAAGTAACTAAAGAAAAAGATATGATTTTGTTTGATTTTTCTTGAATAAGGAGATCATTTCTTAAAGTCTTTGTCATACATTTGTTCTTAAGGGATAGCCACAAACAACTAATTTTCCAGCTGTATATATAAGAAATATCAAGACTATGTCATTGCCATACACTAGAGATTTTTAGACTGTTGTCGTAATCAGAGATAATTATTTATTCAAATATATTAAGCTAGATTAATAGTTGGTGTTGAAGTTGTTCATCTAGATATAAAGTAATCATTTATATATTATAAAGAATTTGTCTTTTACTAATTAAGTAATAATCTTCCAAACAGAGGCATATCCCAAATTTTGAGTTTTTGGATTCTAACCAGTAACAACTAGCTGAGTTATGGATAAATTATTTATCCTTATTTAGTGAATTTCTTAACACTTAAAACAAATTATAGCAAACCCCTATTTCCAACAAGAGTTTTAAAAAAACAGATTTAGGAAATAATTAATTACCTGAAGGAATATCTGTAGAGCTTCTCCACTTGGACTTGCAAATTGCAGAGTTAAAACCAGCAGTTTGTAAACGACTACACACCTCCTTCATAAGGCAGTTCCGGCAGCCGTCGTCGGCGGTTTTCCGGCAAGTGCAAATGCCATTAATTTCGGACTGCAGCTTTGCTTCTTTTACTGTCTCTTTTGTAATGCTTCGGATTTGTGATTCTAAGGTAGTAGTCCGATATAGTATACCCTGCAGTTCAAATAGCAAAAATAGTTAAGTTACATGTCCCCTAATTAAATTATGCATGAACTAAACTAGAACGAACGTAAAAAAACAATTCTTTACGCTACGCGTAATTATTCATAATATAAGCAGTGATATTTAATAATTTAATAGTGGCAAAGGGTAACCGGTGCACAAAGCATCCCGTGTTCATGGCTTCATGCCCGGAAAATGACAGCGCATCCTATCCTAATGTAAAGATTAATGGCTGAATATAGGTCACATGGTGTAAAAAATATATATTATCAATTCAATGTATATAAGTTAATATAAAAGAAACAAAAATTAAAAAACTAGGAAATAATGCCGTTTAGAAATTGGAGTTAACGGGTAGGAGAAAATCAAGGAAATGAAGACATAATGAGCTATATTCGGAAAAAAGTATCAACTTTAAAATAAACCCTTAATTAATTACTTTCAATTTAGTTCTTTTTTGTTAACACAATATTGAATTCAAATTATTCAATTGGAACTTTCTTTGATTCTCTAATAAAATAAAGGTTCTTTCCCTTCTCATGTTACAAACAAAAGTTTTCAAAATTTCCCAGAAAATCTTTGCTAAAATCTGTAAAGTTTCATTGGTTTATCGTTATACTTATTCATTAAAAAAAAAATAAGATTAAGAAATTAAAGAAAGGAGAAAACATACTTGTAAAAGCTGATGTTGAGTTTCCCAAAATTGATTATCTTCAACATTTTCAGAACCTTCTTTTTCTTCATCTTCATCTTCTTCATTTTCAACACAAAAATCAACACCAATACTTTCCGGCGACTCGTCGTCTAAAAACCCGAACACCGTATCGGAAATATTTATCGCGGAGTCGCCGGAAAACACCATTAATTCCGGCATATCACACGTTAAAATCCGATGATTCAATGGTTTCCTAGCCATTACTCTAACCATAATAACCTTAATTATTTATTAACTTTATGAATAAGAAGAAAAAGAAAAGCTTACTAAGGTTTTGTTACAATATTTGTAATGTGACTAATTTAATTCTAGAACTGGCTTTATATATATAGTACCAAAATTTTGGGGGAAAAAAAGTGGACAATTTTATCCTTTTGGACAAATAACTACTCTAGGGGAGCCTACCATTACACGTTAAAGTGAATAGAGACAGTCATAATTGGTAGGACCAAAACAGCATGGATCCACGTCAGTCCATGTCTACTATTTTTATCTCTTTCCTAAAAAAAAATCACCTATTTTCATGGATATATACTCGAATATTCTAGTATTGAAAAATCTGATTTTTTAAGTTAGATTTATGTTTTATTCAATTTAAAGAAGTATTAATTTCTCAGTAATAAAGATTAATCAGGTGTAACATAGTAAGTATTTTCTTTTCTTTTTAAATTATCAACTCAATTTTGTTATAATTAGACATAGGAGTTTGTAGTAAAATTGAGATTATTTAGTTAACTTTTTTTATTAAGGTAGGGTCGTGAAGCTTATCTATCGAAGTAAAAAAAAAGTGAAAATTTGCTCGTATAATATTCTAAGTTGCTCATTTTTGCCTTATTTATTTCACTTTAGTTCATTCATATATTTACCCTTAGCAAATCATATCGTATTTGTAATTGTCATTACCGGAGATTCAAGGCAAAACGGATGGACTCCACGTGTCAAATGTTTTGAGGAAAAGGTCCAATGTTACCCCGCAAATTCTAACTATAATTGAAGTTACCTAAAGTAAAAGCTCTCTTACGCAAAAATAATTTTTTTTTTCTTAACGACGAAGATTTATTAGAATAAAAATTAACAGATGCCAAAATTACTCAATATGGCATAACACAAGGGACAAAGTTGACCATTTAATGAAGAAGGAGTGCGTGCGGGGTATGAAATTCCAAAGGAAACTACTATTAGTATTATAGCCTCCTTGACCAAACTTATCTTGAAGCAAAAATCGTTTTTTTTTTGTCAAAAATATTTTTTTCTAAAATTAAGATGTTTAGCCAAACTCTTGAAAGGAAAAAAATGATTTTGAGGAGAAGCAGAAGAAATTTTGGAGAATAGAAAAAAATAATTTCTCTCCAAAAGTACTTTTTGAAAAGCAATTTTGAAAGAAATACACTTAGAAGTAGTTTTTTAAAACTTGGCTAAATTGCTACTCAAAAGTATTTTTTAAATTAATTAGCCAAACACAAACTGCTTCTCACCGAAAGTACTTTTGAGAAAAAAAAACACTTCTAAAAATAAACTGATTTTTATAACTTAGCCAAAAGGGGCTACGAGTGTGCAAGGGATTGATTTTTACCTAATTAAGTTGTATTAACTCTTCGTTTTATTAAAACATTCAATTAAGTACGCATATCCTATCCTTAACTCATGAGGTGGTGACCCACCCAAGGTAGTTTACACGTGGCAAATGCTGGATCGTTCCAATGAAGTGGGCCCAGCTTGTGTTTCCACCTAACATTGGTGAGTGTAATATCCGAATCAAACATTTAAGTTTTATAAGTTTAATATTAAATGAATTATAATAAATTTTTAAACCTAAAATTTTATTCTACATTGAAAGTAGATTTATATTAAACCCGATAATGACAAGCTGTATTAAACCCGATAATAACAAGCTGCATCCGCCCTGACCCAAAAAGAGAGGGGTTGGATGATTGATCAGGGGCGGAGCTAGAGAGCGAGTTACGGGTTCGGTGGAACCCAATAGCTTTGGTTCAAACTCTCTATTTGTTTGATGAAGTTCATTAAACATATACAAATTATTAATTTAGAACCCAATAACTTAAAAATGATTAGAATCTCTAACTCATAAACTTTAAATTACTGGCTCCGCCTTTATGATTGATGTGGGAATCTTTACACCATATGCGGCATTCTGCCAATGGTTTATGCTTTTGAATATGTGGACGAAATTGCATAAAACAGAAATCTAAAGTGGTAAGATGGGCATTATTGTCAATTTGAGTATGCCATTATTTATAAACTAGTAGTCAATATTAGATTTAACTGTTATTAACCTAAATAATTTTATTTACAAATTTCATTTTATTCTTGATTATAATTTTTATAATCATAAATATCATAGAATATTTAAGATTATAAGTTTCAAAATTTTATAATCTCATAAATATTATAATATATTCAAGATCACAAAAGTAAAAATTTTCTTTTCTTAAACTTTATACACATTTAAACTACTCTATGTAAACTGAAACAAAAAGAATATAATTTTTTAATTGATGATTGATGTGGGAAATGGAATCTTTAAACCATATGCGGCGTCCTGCTAATGTATTTTGCTTTCAAACATGTGGACGAAATTGCCGATGGAAAAACAAAAATCTAGAATGGTAAGATAGGGGTATTATTGACATTTTGAGTGTTCAATTATTTGTTCCTAGTCATTCAAGATTAGATTGATGAATAAATAGTGATAAAGTTAGGTATAAGTATTAAAGAAGATGCCAAGATCTATCCTTTTCATAATTCATTGTCTTGTCTCTTTATATAATTTTGTCTCTTACAAATTGATTATTATACCATGGAAATAGGCTTAATGATGATCAAGATGTGATTTACGCATAAATAGATTATAATCTATAATCGTACGTTTATTACAAGGAATAAATAATATCAAAACTATAATATAAAATTTAACCCGATATTAACTAGTACCAATAATCAAACAGCGAATAAATATTAATTCCAAATTTAATATTGAGATTAATATCGTAATCCCACGGGTAACCAAACCAACCCTAAAAGTTTTGTTAGTCCCGCCAATATTGCTGTATTTGTAAATAATAATTCTGCAAAATATAAGTTATC